AGAGAGAGAGAGAGAGAGAGAAAGAGAGAGAGAGAGAGGTGGAGAGGTGGAGTGAGCGAAGGAAACGGTTTGCGCAGATCAGGCAAACGAATTCGCAAAAATATGTATTAATGAAAATCGTCGAACGGTAAACATACCATCAAGGAGGATGTTTTCATGATACTCGCTGAAACGTCGATACGATCTCGAAAGCATCCCGGCAGATATGTTTGTACGAGATGTGCTAACGTGCATGTGTTCGATTTTTTCGTTTCAGTGCCGACGGGAAAGCCTACAATTACCAATGCTCACAACACGTCTGCCACGTCCATTTATTTGACGTGGAAAGCGCCCAGCTATGACACGATTCACGGTGAATTTCTTGGCTATCGAATCGGTTATAAGCCTCGGGACAAGCCCTACATGGAAGAAAAAGAAGTATACATACGAAACCCAGCCATTGACGTAAGTTATCCAAAATGCATTGTACGAACCTTTCTCGTTGGTTTGCGTTGTACTTCGGTGTTACGGCGCCATTTTGCGGGGAATAAATCTCGCGTTTATCGTTCCCTTTCAGAATCACACGATCCGCAATCTGCAGACGTACACGCAATACCTGGTATCGTTGCAAGTATTCAATCCGGAGGGGCATGGTCCAGCAAGCACCATTTCTGTAATGACCGACGAAGGAGGTGAGATTGCAAATCTTTGTTATTATTTGTAATTTGAAATTTAAACAAAGAGAAAGAAACTCGGTGTTGGTCTACATTTGTAAGTCGGCGCGTTAGAATTACAGCTACCGATAAAACAGAATGTTTGGGAAGTCTTTGTATCTTCGGTCGATAAGCGCGAGTTTAAAGATACCTACTTTAACCGAATTTGTTAAGAAAGATTGCTGTAACAGCGTACTCTTACCAACGATGGTATGATATCGAGGAAATCTGAAATACCCGATGTTGAAAAGGTAGCGTACTAACTTCGTAGGGTTCTGGTAATTGATAAAATAGGACAAAATGGAATTGAAAACTTACAAGGATTATTAATAAAAAGTAGTCGTCGGTGTTGCGAAGTTTCATTGCCCTTTCGCTAGATGTCATCGCGGTTTTGCTTTACGACCGAGTGATAAGAATTTGATAAACAGCCACTCGTGGTTTATAAACCTCGTATCAAGATCGTAGCTTCTTTATCTTTATGATATAAAGAAGATACATTACGTAAAGCGTGGAAAAGGTGTTGTATCGAGTGAAATTTTACGACGCTATATTTGCTGGAGAATGGAATAATTTAATTATGCGTTCTAAGCCAATGCATTTCTTTCAGTCGTCCCTATCGGTCGAGTTTAACGATTATGCGGGTGACAGATAACGCTCGTTAACATAACATTCGCGAGATAGCATACAATCTTTCTGTTACTGACTTGGTTAGTATCATTTGAATTTGCTATCGGTCGCTCTCCCCCGAAGCATAGACGCGAATGCCATGTTTCGAAAACTTTATACAAATCGCGGCTATTTCGGTCACGATCGTATCTTCGTACGCCTTTACTGATGGTTCATTCGTTTCTAACTACGTCCCTGATTTCCGTACAGTCTTCAATTTTGCCCCTCTTCCTCGTAGCTGTCACAGGCCGCATTTGCTCTCGCTGAATTTTAGGTTTTGGAACATTTTACCGTGTAGCGACCCTCCTACAATCGCCACCAGAGGCATCAGGCCAGAATACCATTCGCAGAAGTTGTCTAAACAGTCCAATACCTACAAGTACGTCCTCTGACCTGACTCCATTATCCCTAGGCTTAAAGTAGGGATTTCCTAGGTAGTAATACTGACGAATTCACCATTAGGCACGTTCCTTTTTCTTCGTTCTCTCTCTTGCTATTCCTCTCTCTCTTCTGTATCTGTTATATTATAACGCCATTAAACTCCATTTAAAAAAAAATTTACAATTTTATACGGAAAATAAAAATAGTTACTTTTTCCGATTAAAGAATCTTATCGAGATTCAATAGCTATCGTATCTGTGGTGAAACATAATTATCCAACGGATTAAGTGTTATCGGAATCACAATGATTTGTAAATGGGCTTTGTCTCTGCTATTTCCTGCTGCATACATGGCTGACATTGAACGAGTACATTGGATGATTTTAAATTTGCGTTCGACGTTTTCGATAATTATCCATTGGGCAAGGGAGCAAAGAGATCGTTCGTAAAAAGTGTCTCGACTCGAGGCGACATCTGGTCCAAAATCGATATGACGATCGTGGCGCCGATGGTACTCTAATGATACGTCACGAAACGGCGCTAAAGATTCTTATCGGTCGTTGAAAGATCACGAGGGGATACTCGGTACACGAATCACGTTTCTGACAATGACAGTTCAAGCCACGTGGTACGAAGATCGAATTTTACGTCCCTGAAAGCCCAGTCGCCAGCAGGTTTCCAGCTGCTCTTCTCCTCGTCCATGAGTAACCGTCATTGTGTGTCGCGTTGTCGGCGCTTCGCTCTCTCGCGAGAGGGCATGGTCGGGATTTTCATGGCCGTCCGTGCGTTTTTCAGTGACCTGTCGTCGACGTCGTTTCATGAGTCATACGAACCGAGTCCTCGTCAACGCCGATTCTCCTTTGCCGTTCCTTCACCACGATCGCGGATCGTTTTGACGAATTTTCGCTACTCGGATTCTCTGAAAATCCATACACGTTGGCACAGGGCAGGGACCGTGACGACGGAGACAGTGCGCGGAGAACCGGCGGTGCAACGAGGACGGAAGAGACAGCAACGTGAAACAAGAACAGACAGGCTGTAAGCGAGAGAAAGAAAGCCCGCGATTGGAGGGGAGAGCAGGGAGAAAAATAAAGAGAAAGAGAGGATGAGTCGAGATGCGTGAGAGAAGAAGAGAGAACGATAGATAAACAGGGAGGGAAATGAACAAAGAGGGAAGAAAGAGAGGGACGAAGACAGAGAAATATAAAGAGGCAAAGAAGGAGGAAGACAGAGCGAGGGAAGAGGAAGAAAGAGACAGGCGAGCAAAGAGGGGGATTGCCACGCCGTTTCGGTCGTCGCCACCGGCGCGCCTCTTCGTTCCACGATCGATTTTCCACGATTTTTCACTCCAGTGTGCGGTGCCTCCTTGAGAAGAGTATCGGGGTACGTGGTGAATGCGACACGACAAAGTCGCCTCTCGTCTCGGCGTGAAGAAGACGCGATAAGCGGGAACAGCCGAAGGAAACGCGTTACAAACATATAGTCGCGCCTTCTTCTCGCACACGACTGTGCAACGCGTTCTCCACATCCCCTCTCTCGCTTATTCTCCCTTCCTCTTGGCGCCTTTCTTTCTCTCACGCACATTCCCAGCGCACGTGTATACCGGCTTGTTAGCAGTGGTGTGTGCCTACGGTGCGCGCGCGTGTACCCCGCTACGTTCTCTCTCTCGCTTCATCCCCCTTGCACGTACACGCTCCCACACAACGCGTCGGACCTCGAGCGTGTGTTGCAGCGTGAGTTTCTCTCCCTCTCTGTGCATGTCTGTCTGTTTTCTTCTCGACTGGAAGCGACTCGGAGAAGCGAGTGTAGAGAGCCGGAGTCACGGTTTACCGTACGCGCGAGAACGTTGTACGTTGGTGATCGTGGGAGCCAGTAGTGTGCGTACTAGCGTTCGTGTTCCTCGCTGGAGAGCAGTGCGTTTTGTCACTCTCGCAGGATCGCAACGGTGCACCATTACTCGTTCCGAGTCGTCCAAGGGACAATCTTGATCAGGTTCTCCCGCGGTCAGATTCGTCATTTTGTGAAGTTATCCGCGGATACTTCGTGCGATCCAATTTGAAATGGCGTTTGATTCGCCGCGCAAACGACGCCTCTCCAGTGCCAGTGACGCCTAGTGTGAGAAAGTTTTCAGTGATTCGCGCACACCGTATCCTTCGCTACCGGTTATATCTCTTCCTGGCTAGACCGTGGACACACGAAACTGCACGAAATCGCGTGGTAATGATTGGACCGATACGTCCGGGTGTGAGTTCGACATGGGCGGAATCGTGGCTCGAGGTTGAAGGGTCGATATGGCGTGAAGGGTTCTTTGCACGGTGCCAAAATGACGCTGGATCGGTGTATTCGATCGACCATGCGAATCCGTCCTATGGGGTACGAATTCTCTTCGATTCCTCCCATCGGTGTAATTTCTCCGGACCCGACGTTGCCACTCGCGCGCCACCATTCGCAACGTTAATCGTTTTCGCGATGTTTTTCTAAAGGTACATCGACACCGTTCCGTACGAAGATGCGTAAAGTCTCGGGCACATATGTACTTCCGCCGCTGGTAGACGTTGTTGGTACAATGGACATGTAAATAAGAAATAACTTTTCACCTACATAGCGCTCTACGAAATACATGTCAATGTCATCCGCTTCGATAATTTATTCTCACCGGGTATCCGCAAATATAGCATATTCGCTATGTAGTCCACTTTAATCGACCTTCGCCGCTGTGTAATGGAATACATAACCTCGTCGACGGTTTCTCTTCGAGGTGTTGGAAAATTCGGTAGCGAAATCGGAGGGATCGCCGGTGCAGTGTCAGGCATAACGAGTACCATCGACGACAAAAGGCAACACCCTTCGCCCTCGAATCTGTCTGTTTAAAAAAGCGACGTCTCGCGTGAAACGAATCGATTCGTCTTCGGCTGGTCGATCGGCGTGATCCCACGCGACACGATGCCACCGGTGCGAGCGACCTATGCAAATACATCGTTGCATAATATCAGTCGATTCGCGTTGGCCTGAGTTTGCACGTTTTCCGGCGATTCGTCGCGGAATTGGATATTTCTTGTCGCGAAGGATATTGGAATCGGAAACAGCGGACGTCTCTCTCGACCTCTGCCAGTCTAACGTCTTTCTTGCGAAACGGAAGTAGGCAGGAAATCGTTGATAGGTTACCGATCGCTGTACGAGAAAAACGTTTACGCGACGTTCTTTTAATAGCACTACGCGGAGTATCGGAACGTATGGAAATCGTTTCTACGAATCGTTTCCATTAAAGCAGTTACTAATATTTTAATCAACGTACGCGTTACCTTAATGCACTTGCATATATATATATATATAGCTTATAAATACCTCCAAACTTACTCGAAACTCGATATACCAATTTAAAGATAATTTATAAACTCTGTTTTATAACCTCTCGTGAATCACGTTCATTCTACTTACGTGGACGCGTAAGATAGCTACTTCCGTTCCTCTATCGAAACTATGAAAACATTCCGTGTGAAAACTATACGTAATTTGAACTCGGGTTCAAACACGGCGCACGATTGTGTTCGGCCATTTTTTTTTTTTTTTTTATTGTTATTTTAATGATCCCAGTCTACCCTTGAACCGGTACTCGCACATTACGATACACCCTATGTAGGTGCACGCGGCGAGGCGTCGCATGCCAGTGAGTCATCCTTTATTGCGGAACTTGAATTTTCATCCAAGATCGGCGGAAACGTTTTTCCGCATTTATATCCCCGCCGTCCGAGATGATCGCGGCTAGTCTCGTTGATTTCTTTTCGTCTAGCTTTTCGCGCAACTAGGATGCACGTAGGACGCGGAGTTTCTCCGTGACGTATAAATGTCAAGGCTCGTGGTGCTCGTGCACGCGTGCAGCGCCGCTGCGGCCGGTTCTCGGTTAACTTGCGGTTAATATCGCAATCGTTGAGTCATAATCGCGAGTCCTCCGTTTGCTCGTACCGTATCCTAAATCGAACGTAAACAATTCCTCTTTGTTTCCAGCCCGACATTCTTTCCAGAACCGCGCAAGTTTACAATCAACCTCATTTTCGTCGACCTTTTCGCACGGAACTGTACCTCGACTCTCTACGCGGATTAATTCCCGATCTGCTCGCGAGATGGAACCGTACCGGCGTCTAGAGGGACAAAAGCAAGGTGTATACCGGCAACGATGGTCGAATGGAAGTACATCGTAACTTTCGACGATTCTTTTTACGAGGAGCGTGAGACAAACGTTGCTGAATTCCCGACACGCTGCAGATGCGTTCGACCCGTGTGTCCCCTCGATCTTGACGCACTAAAAATATAAGGGGAAGCCGCTTTAAAACGTTCCAGAGAGGCCGTGTAATTATTGCTGCGCGACCGGCGAACAGCGAAGCTGATGCGCTCGTTGCTGCCGCCGGCCGTCTCCGCTGTTGCTACCGGCGCTGTTGCTGCCTCTCGGTGTGTAGCTCGACGAGAAACAATCGAGGTCATAATTCCGACTAATTGAGGCACTCGACGACGCAATTAGGACAACGTGCGAGCCGAGAACCGGCGACGATCGAATTTATTTTTTATCCCTCCTCTCTCTCTTTCTCTCTCTCTCTCTCTTTTCTCTGTCTCAATTCCCACACGTGTTTCGCGCGATCGATAAACAAAGGAGGAAAAAAGCAGGGAAACGAGTCCGACGGGAGAGAATCGAAATTAGGCTAGCCAGTTGGATCTCGAGCCACGTTAATATTCCGGTCACGTTGCACGGACGTGTACGCGGCGCGCGGAGGTATATCGGGCCGCCAGGATGCAGCGCGAACGCAATCACCGCTTCGTTAGCTTCGATCCTTGCTGTCCGATACGCCTCGACAATTTCCTATTCCTTCAGGCGACCGAGGGACACGCTAGCCGATCAATCCGTCCGATCGCGTTTCTCCTACCGCTGTACGGCCTCGTTGCTGTTACGGGGTAAAATCATATTTGGAAAATGAGGATTCGTCGGTGAGCCATCCCCCTCGGTGCAACGGTCCCAACGAAACGATCCGGATCGAACTGGTTCCACGGACAATCACAGGGTGCGATGCGACGACGCAAACTGTCCTTCTTCCCCGTGGACCACGGGCCCGCGTTTTAACGTGGCGCTGCGAACGCAGGCGAAAAACAGCGATGAACTTTCGCGGAGACTCGATTCGTACGGCGGACCGTCCTGTCGCGTGTTGTTCTTGTGGTTGGTGCGCGTGTCCGCGCGGAGTGCCGTTCCGAGGGTGAAACGAGCGCGATGAGAACGCCGACAAGAGTAACGAGGATGGACGAATTCGTGAAATAGCCCGGTGGAGAGCGAGCGAGCCACGCCGTGTGCCGTGCCGTGCCGCACACCACGCCACGCTACGCCACGCCACGCCACGCCACGCCACGCCGCGCTTCACAGCTGCAGCTGCAAAACGAAAATGTCGTGGGCCAGGATAGCCAGTGCCGCTCAACTCGTGGCCGCAGTGGCTGTCATCCTGCGGATACTGCTCGCGTCCGCCGATCCAATCGCGTACACGGACGAGCTGACGTACGAGCAGACCACCTACACGGTGCCTGTCTCCTCAACGGAGAACGACAGCGACGTTTATCGAGGTAAATGGGTATTATTGCATTCCACGTGACGATACTTGTGTGATCGCAAGATCACAACTCCGATCGTCGAATGGGAGCACGATCTAAACGAAAACCATAATCCCCGTTTTCTCCTTCACCGTAATATTCGTTGGATCGGTAAATAGGAAACGATGAACATTCGATCCCGAGTCGCGTTTTTCTCCCGAATAGCACGATTTCGCGGTTAAGAGTGGTAGGTATTTCCGTTGAACATCGCGAAATCGGAAGAAATCGGAAGTATGGAAAGAAAGTGGCGGACAGAACGAGGCGCAAGAGGCAGTGGTAATTTACTCGATTAATCGCAGGCAGCGCTGATCCTGCAGCGATTTCCCGCCGGTAATAAATAAACCGCGACAGAGTAATATCCCTGCGAATAAAATGTCCGTGTACAATGTTTTATTATCAGCGACTTTTTAATGAACTGTCCCCGCCCCCACTCTACGTTGCGCCATCCGACCTGCTCTCCGCAGCGGAAGAAAATTTATGGACGCGCTTAACGCCGCGCGATTTATCGATGAATACGTTCCCCGGATTTCGCGGGGAACATACAGAAAACATAGAGAAAACAATGAGAAGCGCTGTAATCGTAAACGTAACGTAACGTCGAACAGACGTCACCCGTATACTCGTTATCAGCGCGGTTCCCTCGCTGAATTCGCGTACCCAACGAAACGAGAACCCTCCATGCGTATACGCGTAATCGCGATTGGGTCCTCCGAACAGGCGACGCAGCGAATGGCGGGATCGTGGATCGACGATGGTCACGCGGGGCGTCCCCGCCGCGGGAAAGATTTTCCCCATGGCTGGCGTGCACAGCCGAGTGGCGGCGCACTCGCGCGTTTCCTTTTCCGTCTCGATTCCGGGGAACAAGGTGCAGCGTGTATTACATTTCTCTCGTGGAATCCACCTCTGCCTGTCCACCTAGCGCGCACCGTAGCGCAGGTTCGCGTTATCTCCCTCTCAGGGGGCCCGCCTCCTGCCCCCTTCGGTGCCCAGTCTGGTTCTCCTGAAACGCACCTTGCCGCGGTAGGTTACGTAAGCGGCTGAGCGCGGATTCGCGGGCGTGTACGTTGTCATAAAGGCATGAAAACAGCGCGTTGCGTTTCCTCCGGTCGCGATCAGGTTGCGAAGCGTGGCCACGGAACTAGTTCTCGCGGCGGGAGGAAACGGCGCCGAGAAATCGTTACTCGATCCTGAGCGCTCCCTCCGCCAGGAAGCGAGTCGCGTTTCCGCCCGGCCGACAGCCAGGCAGGCCTTCCTTTTCCACGCGCTTTTTGCCCGCCGTTTCGGTCCAGTTTCGCAACCGCCTTTCACGGATCGTCATTCGTGACAGGCGTGATCCGCGTGCAAACGCGGATTTCTTCTCTGCATCGTTGCAACAGCTCCGGCTGACCTTATGGCGTCGGCCAGGTATAAAATTATGGAAATCCAGCCGCGTCCAACGTGGGGCTCGCTTTTTACTCCTTTTCGCCGGTTTTTTACCCAGTCCGGGCACGTTAGCCGGTACCACGAGGCATTCGGTGGTCTATTTTTACGCGGAGGAGAAGAGCACCTCAAGGTCGCGCACTCTAATTCGCATGCCCGAAAATGTTCAGCCGGATTTGCGCGCGTTTCCTAATGCCTATCGCGGAGAACGCGTATCTCGAATTAATGGCCCCCCTTAATGGCCTCTCTCGCCCTGCGAGACTCACCTTGTGCGTCCCGGTCGAGGGACGACGCGGTTGCGTTCGACGCTTCGTAATCGATGGCGCGACGCGAAATTTCTGACCCCCTCGGTCGTGGTCGTTGAAACATTTTCGAAGAAAATACGCTAAATACTCGATCACGATTGTACGACACGTTTCGTCCGACTCACCTTAGCCTGCCTCGTCTACCGCGCACCGTACCGTGTCGCTTAAGAGCACGGCATGAATCTGTTATCGAGCGTGAACTCCGAAATGGAATTGTAAAACGCAAGGATCCCAGCCGTAATTTCCACATTCCGCGGCCCGGTTAAAACGTTCGACTTCTCCCAGAACTCTGCTACAACTCTGGGTATCCTTCGAGAAGAATGTTCAGCTTTGAGGAGTGCCGTGAGTCACCCAACGTGAAACGCGTTAAGACGGCGAGCGTTTTTGCCGCGGCACCGGTTCGAGGACGAAATCGCAACGGTGCAGGCTCGAGTAACGCAGCCGATCGGGAAGGCAGCGTCGAATGCGTTTCAAGTTCATAAACTTGCCGCCCAGGAAACGAGAAAGCCACGCAACGCGAAACAGGTAGCCGACGATCGCCGTTTTTCTTATCAACCGTTCCTTTCACTGGAGCACCGTTACTTATTGCCAACCGATCCTAATAAAGCTACTTTCGCCTCTGTCTCTCGCGTATGCATCGCGAAATCGCGCAGGTCTATCTCCGCCTCGACTATTTGCCCGGTGTCTCGCCCAGGGAAGTCGCTCCGGGCGCCGATCGCGAAAAATCGGCCAACACGCGGCAGATTTCTCGGCTCTAGAAACTACTTCGCAGGTGTCCATTTTATGAATCGCGAAACAACGCGAGACTGCCTCCGCGTCGACTATTCGCTTAAGATCTCGCGCGAGTCAAACCTGCGGTAAAGGTTGACATAGATTTTTAATACATATATCGATGTAAAATAAACGATGCGTGTAACGAACGAAGCGTGGTATAGACTGTGTACATTTATACGATGTATGAAAGAAAAGAGAAGAAACGAGAGAGTATTTGCATAGGTCACGATTCTGAATTGATCGAGAGCAAACGTATGATTATGTTTCATCGATAATTTTTACCCTGAGATAAGATATTGTTTACTAAATACCTAATATCCACGACTAACGAATCCTTCAATGGCGAACGAATCTAGACGAAAGATCGGTAAAGATGGAGGTAGAGTATCTCTCTGTTTTAGAAACCGGAAAAAATCCGTTGATTTACAATCCGAGTTACAGTTTCTCGGGAATCTCGACACCGTCTTCCCGTTCCAGCGAGTAATTCTCTCGAAGATGATTCCGAGCGAATCCGCCGAGTCGTTACCAAGCAACCCACTATGCAGACCTGTATGTTATATAAGAATTTTCTTGCACGTTTCCCGACAGTAACCGAACCAGTCGGTTACATTGGAAAGAAAGTCGTTCCTAAACTGAACCGTAAGAAAACTGGACCGGGTATATTCGCCGGGTTACCTTTTATAAGGTAACTTCGCGTAACTCGGATTGCCAGTTCGAAAGGCAATGAATGTAAATGAAAAACAGGCGTATTAACTGGGCGGTGAGAAGAGCGCGGGCTTTAGATTGGGCAGGAAACGCGGGAGAAAACGTTTTCCCATGGCCGCGCGGAACCCGGAAAAGCGGTGGACGAAAAGGTGGCGAAACCTCGACGTAATCGAGGCGGTCGATTCCTTTCTCCTCGTGAGTTTTCCGTGACCTGCCGGAGCGCGAATCGCACGTTCGACCTTGCCTATTCGCCATACACGATCGCGCTCATTTTTCAACAGCCGCGTGTCGCCGTCCGACACGATTCGGCTGCGAATTCTAAAGGTTTTCGCGGCCGATTGTCGCGCCCGTCGTCGTCCTCCCTCGCGAACGCGACGCGAATACGAATGGGAAAGGGGTCTGTTCTCGAGCATGGTTTTTCAGCGGCGAAGAAAAGCCTCGGGGGGTGGAGGCTCGCGTGAAACGAGTCGCGTCGCGAGACGCTTTTGCGACGAAACGTCACGGAAAAATTGCCGACTGCGAGGAAACGCGCGAATCCGCGGGAGGGTGAGCGCGAAACGCGTGCATTATTACGCTTCCGAGTTTCCTTCGAATCCATCGCGTTGGAAGAGTAAATGGCGCGTTCTCGGTTGTCTCTGTTCAGCTCAACAACGCGTTGGGTTATCCGGTTGAAGCTGAGATCTGTCCTATTGGCTCGGAGAAAAGCGCTCGCGAATGGATCGCGATAAGACGGTTATTTAATGGACCATGTCGATATAGTCCCAACCCATTCGCTTTTCTCCGCTGGGTCCAGTTTGTCCTCGCGTATAGCCGATACCCGGCGCGCGAATTTCGTGTCATTTTGGGACGCATTTGTGCCAAACGGTCCCTCGAGGATATCGCGTTAAAGCGGAAACGTCTCGCGATACTTTGGTACGAACGAATTCCTGCATTTCGCGATACCGCGATGCCGGACGGCTCCAATCATCCGTTGAAATGGCGCGCCGCTCGAATTCGCCGCGAATGGCGCTTAACGTTCGCGCGAGCGACGCTAACGTGTAAGAGTATTGCGTTACAGAGAAGCACTGGAGGGTGTAGCTGTCATTATCGAACTCCGTTTGGTACGCGCGCGATATCGGCTTGCCCGGTGTATCGTTTGAAATCGAATATATACACAAGCAGATGGCGTTACAGCGGGCGAGAATTTCGATGAAGAAATACCCTTAGTCGCCTATTTCTGCGTCTATTTCGTCCACGGTATATCCTATCGTGGCCTCTCGAGTTGCATTCGTTTCGAATAGCGATGGAAATCCACGCGTAAGCTTCGGCCAGCAGCCTTTCGCACCCTCTTCTTGTTAAAACTCGACGAAACTCAATCGCGAAGCCTTACCACCGGCCATAGATCGCTTCGCGTGTATTCCGTTTCGGCTTCTCTCCCCCAAACACGAGCAGATGTTTCTCGCCAGGCACAGGAGGATCGAAACGATGAAAGCGACGCGATAAAACTCGATCCAGTTCAATTGTTTCGCCTCCGCCGGTTATCCTAGGATGGGGTTCTAGACGCGGGGAGTCGCAAAGAAGGAAGGTAGCCTGGATCTTAGAGTCTCTGCGGTCGCTGGGAAAGTGAATGGTGTCTATAGAGTTACTCGTCGCGGCGCGAGGGGTCTGAGAAGACACTCGAGGCGAAATTAATTATTCAGACTTTGGCCGTCGCAAGCTCGCTCTCGTCTTTGTACGCTGAAAATTGGAAAGCCACCTTGGAAGATGATGAGCGGCCGACGAAAAAGAAGGAGAAACTGACACGCCGACGAGTGCATCGACCGAAAAATAGTTTACGGAGCCGCGCGTTTTCGAGCGGTGCTTCACCTCGAGTATGACAAAATCGTCGTTTTCAACCATCACGCGCAAGGGTTTTCCTTCACACCCTTCGCGCGAAACGCGGAAACAACTGGAAATAACGGAAGCGTTCGCGCGAGTACCTTTGCCGTTGACAGCCGCGAAATTCCCGTGAAATTCCCGCGAATTTTCGTTTCGCTCTGGTCGATTCTTATTTTCGTCTTGTCGTTTTCACAGTGCCAACGAAACCATTGAACCTGTCGTCGCACGGCATCACCTCCACCACCATCGAATTGTCATGGGCCGAGCCGGACTACGCCAATGGCATCATTTCCGGTTATCGCATTTACTATATGCATTCCAATTACACAGACGTGCAAATGTACAGGACCGGCGAGTACGATGGACCGGTCATCGAATTCGTTTTAAAGGAACTGGGTGAGTACGCGATCGGAAATGGAGTCGCTTTGGATCCTCTCTCGGTCGTTAAGGGGCTAAGCCAGAATCGAGCAAATAACCAGGGTAATATCTATTTCGAGAATTGTCGTTCGAGTAAACGAACAAGAGCCGTCGGTGTGCGTAGCTCGACGATAAGCCGGAACTCTTATCGTCCCGCTGAGTTACGCGTTCGTGCTCGATGACTGCAGGTGAATGCATTGTTAGATAACACGCCGGAATCTGGGGTTCGTGCAATGAAGCACAAATTCGATCCTGCCCGTGGGATAAACCCTGCATTCGTGCAACGCGATGCTCAGATCGATTCCAAGTAACGCGGAGATCTCGTAGAATGCGCTATGTGACGAGAATATCCGAGGAAGAATACGTTTCCAGCAAGGACAGAATTCGTAGAATAATTGGCCAAGTTTAAAGTCCTCTTACCTACACGTGCGTACCAGAGATCTACCTGGATAAGTCAACGATGTACCTACGAGGATCTATGGAATCGTTCTCTATTCCGAGACACCGCTTAACACGTTAAACGCCACGCCGATTTTACGTCCCGTTCCGTTCACGCCGCGGTTAGCCGTCATGCTGGGTCCCTTCCGGGCTGTACGACCCGACTTCGCCTGAACGGAAAGTCTAGCGCTGATCCTTAGGGGACCGGCGTGGCGTTTAACGCGCTAATGAGCCAAATTAAATTTATATTTCAACTTTTTCACCTCGTCGCAGTTTGCTTCTCGATGAAACGGACGTTCTTCTTTCAGAACCGTACATCGAATACAAGATATGGGTGAAGGCTTACACGTGGAAGAACGAGGGCGAGCCCTCGGATCACATCATTCGTCGGACAGACATCTCAGGACCCAGCGCGCCGTTGATCTTGAACGTTACCTGCCCGACCCACGACTCCGTGTACATCCAATGGGCCAGGCCAAACATCTTCTGGGGCTCGATCGACTACTACTTCATCAATTATCGGATCGAGAACGACAATCGATTCGAGGAGATCGAAGTGATGACGGAAAAGAATCACCTTGAGAGCGCGGTAATTTTCGCCTTGCCTTCGCTAGCCAAGAGACTAGAGTCTTTCCACTTTCTTCGTTGCTCGCGTTTTCACTCTGATTGCCTGACTTATTTCACGCGACGCTGTACGAGGAAAGAAACAACTTCTGATGATTACTGGACCGGAACTTTGTTACCTGGAACCTTTCGTTTTCTCCACCGATCGAATATTTCTCTGACCGTAGATAAACATTTTTCCCCGCTTATCCGATTCCCTGGTATTTCAGATAAAATCGTTACAAATGTCGGTTTCGAGCGGACACGGTCAGCTGAGCCGAAAACATCCTTGAACGAATAGAACGTTCGCCGGCTATCAGCTGCAGACGTGCCGGAAATGCACAGGACGGACGAACTTTCTTATCACGTTGAATTCCAAATCGAAATTTCGCCATGACTCACGCGTGTCGTTTACGGAGAAGACCCCTGCGCAATCGCGACCTCTAGGAACTGGACGCAGCCGATTAACTTGGATAAACATTGTTTATTCGCAGATGATCATACCGAACCTGACGATGAACAGCGTGTACGAGATCGTGGTGCGCGGAGGCACGCGAAGCGCTATCGACAAGAGGCTGGTGATACGCGGAGAAGGCTCTGCTCCGCAGAAGGTGCGCGGTATTCGCGATTGCAACAGAGCACCGCCGTTATTGCCACACAGCACCATATGGTTCAGCA